CATCTGGCCCTGCAGATGGGCGCCCTCCTCCCTCAGGTTGGTCAGCAGCAGCCGAGCCACCGCCTCGCTGCCCTGCTCCCTCTCCACGTGTTTCAGGATGGCGGGGGCCTGCTGCTTGGCGCGCTCATCCACAAGGACACCCTCGATAATGCTGAAGTGGCCCGCCCCGTCCCGTCGTTTGTGGCGGCAATGAAACGACACGAAGCCGTTGAGGCGAACGACGGGCGGGACGGCCAGGCTGAGCGGGGCGGGTGCAGGCGATGGGGGTCCGGGCGAAGGGGGCGAGCTGGGCTCGCTGTCGGACCCGATGGCGGTCGATGGCGGTGGGGGCGACGATGCCTCGCTCGGCGCCGGCAGCTGCGTCTCGACTGTGGCACCCGACTCGACAGCGGTCTGATCCTCCTTCTCCTCTCCATCACCCACACCCTCGCCCTCTGCCGCCTCCCCTATGGCGTTCTTCCGGTCGTCGGGCTGCTGCTGGTCCTCTTCGCTGGGACCGAGTGGACGCGGGGAGAGTGAGGCGCTTGCGTCTGGTGCGTGTGGTGGGGCGGGGGAGGGGGGAGTTGTCGCCTCGTTGGCGGTATCTTTGAGGGGTATGTCGTCACTGCCCGTCACGTCCGTGCTATTGGGGGCATTGGGAGCACGCACATCGTCCAACAAGTCAGCTCTTTCGACCGCATCTGCACCACACCACACAACACAACACACAGTCAATGTGTGACCAACGGTGAGGGTGCACGTGTCTGTCGGTCGGTCGGTCGGTCGGTCACCCACCTTGCGAGAGAGCCACGGCGTTCGTCAGCCGCTCCTGAGCAGAATGTACCTCTGACGACTCATCTTCAGCTACAGGACCACGCGGCCGCCCAACAGCAGGCAGCTGCGACTCGGCTACCGCACGCGACTCGGTCACTCCATCATCCACACCTTTACCCTCACCCTCACCCGCGGCCTCTCCCGCTCCCTCTGTGACGTCGTCACCCTCATACACTTCTCTCTCACTGCCGCCCTCGTGCATCTCCCTCTCGCGCATCGGCCCTCCTTGCCTGTCATCAAATCGGTCCGTCATGGCCCTCTCGGCATGAAAAGACGGCCCTCGAGACCCCGCACCGTCTCGCGACGGCTCGTGTGTCCGCGAGCGTGATACACTATGACCTTGGCGCGGCTCCACTCGTGCGCCAGATGGCGGCTCGCACGTACGTGACCGAGGGATAGAGTGGGCTCCCCTGTCCTCCTTGGCCGGCCTCTGCTCGTCATCCATCTCGCGATACTCTCTGGCGGCTTCCCGAGGCGACTGTCGGTCGGGTGAGGCAGCAGGCTGGAGAGAGGGCTGGGATGACAGCGCCTGGGAGGGCGGCTGGTTGGTGGAGGCCTGTTGTGCGCTTGGAACGACGGGTGCTGACTGCACGACAGCAACAAACCAAGACAAAGACAGACAGATGGGATTGCGTCAGGCCTGCCGTGAGTGAGGATGCTCGTATGGATGGATGGATGGGTGGATGGATGGATGGAGGTGATCCCGTCCGCGTACCCGTCGTAGAAACGCGGCCGTCTTTGGCAGGATGCCGGCCCACGTGAGTGCATCTGCCGCCCCTCGCAGGAAACCCCCTCTCGTCCTCTCAAACGCCCCCGCCCGGCTCCTATGCAAAGTCCATCGAATGGACGGCGGCCTGCAGCCAGGAAATGCACACATGCCGCGCGACATTCTGCCTTGGGGATTCGTCGCTCACCCAACGCTCACCTCGTATCAGTGGCCTTCATCGGTTTGCTTATTATCAAATATCCTCTCAATTCTTCTCTGCAGCGACCAGCGACTCTTCGTCTTGGCTCAGGGCGGCGAAGAACACTCCTCTCCTTTTTGCACGCGCAGCTGAGGGGGGGGGGGG